AATGTTGAGGTCTAGACATTTATTACAGGTTTTGTATGTTGAGAGCAGGAAAAGTGTTAACTAAAAAAGAATAATATACAAGTTAATACCCTTATGGCTTTCAGTAAGATTATTTTAAATGGGTATCAACATTTCACTGATTATTATCCGTTTTTAAGCGAGATGGGGCTAACTCTTACCAAATATTAATAACACAGCTTAACGCCCTTCTGGCTCCTAACAGACGATATATATATATATATATATGTATGTATAATTCTGATTTTCATACACAGTTTTCTAGAGGTCCAAAACTAATCAAATAAGAGGCACAGACTACCTTCTGTTAGCTGACCAATCGGAATCGGTAGAGTTGCAGAGAATAGAAAGAAACAAGCAGACAAACGCACTCATCTTACGAAACAAAATAACTTATCATTGTCATCTTTATTTGGAAGAACTATTTCTTTATTTCATGATTCAATACTTACTTGCAACTGACTGCCAACTCATACATGCAAGAAAACATTCACAAAGAGATGCTAATTTCTTAACCCCTTCAGTGCCTCTAGATTTTAAAAAGGTTACATGCTATGTTTCTGAAGGTTCATGATTCTGAAGGTTCTTGTTTTATCTATGAGGGTTTGTATTTCAGAAGGATCATTATTCCGTAGATTCATTAATCCGAAAATAAAATAGAACCCTGTATCGTTTTCGGACTTACAAACCTCTGGAATAATGAACCCAATGTCATTTTTTTTTAAATTATGAACCTTCATGTATTTCATTTTCGGAATTATGAACTTTTTTTTTTTTCAGAACTAAAAACTTCAGATTTATGAACCCCATTTCATTTTCGGAATAACAAACTTCCACAAAAATTAACCTCATTCAAGTTTTAGGTTGGGAAATCTGTGTTTTGGAATTATGAACCTTCAGAAAAAATGAGTAACCCCAAACGAACAAGCTATTTGCATCAAACAGAACACAAAGCAAATCATTAAGTATTTGGAGAGCGGATTTGATATCCATGGCCCCCAAAGGGTTAACATAATTTAAATAGAGTGGTCTTATTCGTGGCAAGGTATGGTATTTGTTAGATTCAAATAGGGTTGAATTAGCTATCAAAATGGCGTCTGCCTAATCTATTGCAATATTTCATGAAACAGACACCTATATTTCAGATGTCCTCCTCCTGGTAATGTTTCTGTTTATTTATAAAGTCAAACCTGCTTTAGTGACCACCTGTCCACAAAGACCGCATTTTTTGTTTCCCTTGAAAATGGTTTCTCATTGAAACATGTACTAAAGGAACCTGTCTACAAAGACAACTTTCTTTTGTTTCCCTTGGGCGGTCCCTATACCGCAGACAGGTTTGACTGTATATGAAACCTGCCCAGGCTATAAAGACCACTCAAAGGAGATGGGAAAAGCGGCTTTCACATGTATACACATGGACCAGTATTCTACTCAAATTCGAACCCAATGCTGAGTTTAGGCCTTTGTAGAAAATTAGGTTTGATGAAGAAAGTTAGTCCGCGGTCTAAGTTTTAATGGACAGGTGGTCACTAAACATGTTTTAAAGTATATGATATATTGTTTAATAATAATAATAGAGGCTTGTTGTATAGCGCTTATGTCTGTCAGACTTGACACTCCTGGCGCTCCACATTATTACCCCAGCTTTAGCATGGCTGCCATCGTGGCGCTCTAGCATTTCAAGGAATTAATTCCTGCCAGGTTTATCCGGAAATAAAGCCTGAAACATGTATGGAAACAACTCGAAATTTAATACAGTATCTACCTTTTTTTAAAATTAACTAGAAAAAACATATCAAAAAAAGTAAAAATGAGGTTAAAAATTAACTTGCTTTGCATTTCACATTCAGCCTTTAGTGCATGGTACCATAACATTTTTTTGGTTTGGCTAATCTTAATTTGTCTATGCCGTTTGTATAAAAGATAATTTAACCAAAATAACATAATCCCTTAGATATATATATATAACAATCATAAAATGTATTCTTAAAGGCTGAATTTATTGGTGACTAAAAACAAATAAACAAACATGGAAATCATAGTTGTAAATTACTATACCGAATGGCAGTTCCCAGAAATTTCATAATTTGGAGTGATCTAATATTTTGGTGCAAAGGGGTTAACAATCTGAACCCCTCAAAAACAGTTTGGAAACTCAAGTTTCATATGATTATCTCTCTTGTTATGGCATAATCATTGCTATGTTTAGTATGATCAGAAAGTGTGTTTATTCTTTAGTCAGTGACTTATGACTTCATACTAGAGCCAATTGACCTTTCCATGATTGCTTTAAGTTTTTTTTTAAAGTAGGGAAAACAGGATATAAAAATAGTGACGAGTAACAAGTGAATTATAATAAATTACGTACTAGCTGTGCATATTTTGACACTGTGTTTTGACTACATGTTTACAATGAAACAAAAAAACAAAATAGATTTCTGCTTCTATATCAATTTCAGGAAATGCTAAGATTAAACAAAGAGCAATTAGGAGTGATTCAGATATTGTCATATACCCAGCAGAAGGGCGCGAATGGATGCACCAACAACGATCTAATGTTTAAAAAAAATATTTTGAAAATTTATGACCATTCTTTGACTACATCTGCATAGTGAATATTAGTCTGTATCTCAAAATTTGTTATTACTTCAGCAGCACCGTAACTAAAAATGTTTGGAAATAAATTAGACAGAAGTTAGTGTTTCTGCCTGCCTGCCTGCCAAGCCCATGATAATATATCCATCGCGGATTAAATAAGTGACAGCTGCTTTCTTCGCACAATTATCGAACAGTGATATCTTAAGCATTTATGATGACAAGATGAAACACAAAATGATATAATCATTACACGACATAATTAAGATATTTCTTCAAAGGGGAACTTTCAATTTACCACATGACATGTTATGCGCTTTGACAAATCTCTGCTCAGTTCATTTCCACATCTCTACCACATAAATATGCACGATAAGAAGTAACAAAAAAAAGATACATCGACATAGTGCTTCAACAGATCATGCAATCCGTTGACAAAAACATCAAATAAAGTTCATCTAACTAGAATAGAAAATCATTTTTGACCTGCATGTTCAGTGCATCGAGTACAAATCCACTATGGGAAAAATGAGGCAATTTCATATTAAATAGATGATTATTCAACTTTGAATAAATTCTTCTTTCTTTCTAAACAAATCTCTAATATACATTTTTTATTGTAGACTGAGTAACAAATATTTCCCACATTTTTTTTTCCTGTAAAATATATTTTTTTTTATATCTATTTGCAAATACTGTACATGATTTCAAATAGTAATGACATATACCTACACAAATGTAGTTCTTGGTATGTGCACACCATATTGCATGCGCACATTTTTTCTTCTTATTCCATTTTCTTGTGAAAACCGTTTCCACTTCTGTCACCGATATCTGACTTTATCCCTTCAAACCAGCAAGAGCAAATCTTTAGACTGCAGTGAGCCCAAATCATCAAAACACTGTGATTAGGGTCAACATGACTGATACTTTTGGAATCAGCCCAAAATTCACCCTGAATAAGCTATCTAAGCCTTCCCAACCAACATTTTGCTTAAATCCCCTCATCTCCTAGGGTATATCACAAAGCCACAGCTGATATGTTTGTCGACTTGTGAAATCGACTAAACACTGGTGTCGGTAGCTTGTGAATCCACCGAATTTCAGCAATTTTCAAGGGACATTTCTATACAACAGGAGATTGGAATTCTTTTCTTTAACGACAGAGTTGATATCACTGAAGGAATCAGTTTGATATATCATATTGTTCAATTCTTATGATTTGTTTCTCCCCCAAATAACTGTGATTATGATACTTTTGCCAAACCAGCAAGATGGACACCTGGGACCCGTTTCACAAAGCCTTTTTTCAATGACAAATGACCAAAATCAGTGACAAATCTGTTGATAACCAATCAGAAGCAAGGATTTCAGTAGCTTATAACAAAGACTGTCGTTTGTCACTGATGACAAGTTTTGTGAAACGGCCCCCAGACCGACAAGAGACCGAAACAAACAATAACATAATGGCCAAAAATTGGTTGGTCTGGAGTCGGTTTGAGTCTGGTATTAGTCTTCATAATTCAAGCTCCTGCGACGCCGAAAATTTGCCCCGCTCTTGCTTTCATAACCAAAACAAACACCCTTCTCTAGAAGACATAATGTACATTGTAAATCATCAGTTCTTACTTTCTTACCTCAGAAACATTACATTCTTAACCTATCACTGCATTCCAAAAGCTCAGTAACAATCGAGCCTTATGCCTGTACTATAATTTACTACATCTGTACACATCAAAAAATAGGGAGAAGAGAAGAGAGGTATCTACAGATTTTGTCCATAAAATTTGACCGAGTCTGTATTTAGACTCTAGCTGCAATTTGAAGAGTTTCTGCACCACAGAGGGTGTTTGATTTGATTTGGAAGGTAAGAATAAATAGTATTGAACAAGCATTAGGGACCCGTTTCACAAAGCCTTTTTTCAATGACAAATGACAAAATTCAGTGACAAATCTGTTGACAACCAATCAGAAGCAAGGATTTAAGTAGCTTATAAAAGAAACTGTCATTTGTCACTGATGACAAGGTTTGTGAAACACCCCCCCCCCCCCCCCCCCCCCCCCCCCCCCCCCCCCCCCCCCGGACTCAAACATTTGTTTGTCAATACATGGGTGTATCCAATTCATAGAAATGCAGGATTTCTAAGGATACCTTTAAGGGTAGAAATAGGAAAAATCAGAAAGACTATTTTATCATGACCCTTTCCATTAAAAAAGGATCACTTTGTCGTTATTTGAGAGTTTGTATCACAGCACTGCAACTGCAAGCTCAAAACAATTACGGCACACTGCGTTACCAATCTTTACAGGGTTTAACAAAGGATATAATACAGAATCGTGCGTCAAATGAGAAACAATTTATCCCGAACCTTGCCCCGCTTTCACTATTTGGATGCTGTTCTAAGTTTTAAATATTTTTTCCTGAGATTTCACTCTCTAATACCAATTTTTCTTCTCCCTTTCCATTTTTTCCCTCTCCTCTCCACTCCAAAAAAGACATATATACAGAGGATACTAAAAAGGAATGAATGGGCTTTGTACAAAATAGAAACCGTGACGATGACGCCGTCGAGGACGATGTCGAGGACGATGTCGAAGGCGATGCTGGGGAGAGCGGTGTCGCCTATGATACAAGCAGCACTTTTCTGATTCCATTTGGTGTGTCCTGGTCGTTGAGGTGCTTTGAGTTGTACCTAGGGAAAAGGATATAAACCAACCATGATTAATCAGGTAGGTTTCTCACATGGATCTGCGAGCTTTAGATCACGGAGGTGGACATTTTGATTTCACAATGATTACCTGTCACTGCACATTTAAAGATAAAGTTGAGTTCTGGTCATGAGATTGCAGTGTGAAAGAAACGGTGTGGAATTGATCAGTAAAGGTTGATCATCTAGCATATAAGTACTGGTGTGTACTGCAAGGTTCTGGAATCATCAAAATGATAAGAAATTTGGCCCAGTCTTGGCAAAGTTTCAAGCACTGCACACAGAGAGATGTATATTGGACTACACAAACATGTGGCATAAATATCTGTCCCGATTGTTATGCTGTTACATGCCATATTTAGAATATTAAGGCATTTGAAGAGCCATGCTTTTCAGGGAACAGTTTTTATCTAATGTTCTTCCACACAAATTATTTTTCACCTCTTCCCAGAACTCAACCTTCTCTTTAATGACCCAAACTACTACTAAAGTGTAAAGGAAATTGCAACACAATCTGACTTGAAAACATAAACATTGTGACTCAATTTTTTTATTTTACTTGATTGAGATGCCATGGGGAAAACTAGGGATCGATGTCTGCTCCAGGATGGAACAACCTACGGAATAGGCCTTTTAAAAAAAAGATATTGAATGGCCCTTTAGGTGCCAAAACATGGGTCGGTCTGTCTGTCAGTCGGTCGGAAATCTTTCTTTCTTTTTAATACTTTTTTTACTTTTTTTTTAATACTCCCTCTTTGGGCTGATATTTCTCAGTTTTGAATGCTTAAATACATTTTTTTCCTAAAAAACGGTAGAAAAAAAAACTTTTTTAAAAAGCCAAACTGTAGATCAAGATTTTAGGGTCAGTCGCAAAGGGCAATACAACATCTCTTTTTTAAGGCCCTATGGAGATGCTGAATGGTCTTAAAGCCTGTCTGCACTAGTTTGGCCAGGAGGGATAGACCTCCCTGCGGGGTCACTGACAGGAAGTCATCTCATCAAATCAGCTCTCAATTAACATGAGAAAAAGGGGACCATGGGGAATCAACTTTAATAGGCATTGTTTGCTATATAGACGGTGCAAGAAGCTACAAGTAGTGCAGTCCCGCTTTTAAATAGTTAAATAAAATTGCAGGGTTCTTCAAGGATTGTGGTCTGAAATAAGGCAAAATCAACTTGTACGTGTCTGCTAACAGCCATTTAACTGGGGCGTTGTCACTATGATTCAACAACATTTCCTGGTTGTTGTCTTTTTCTCCACAAAAACTTTAAGCACAGTTCAACTATCAAAACACATCTTTTGTGAGTTATCAATGTCACAATAGGCCCAATAAAGAACACATACTACAAATGGACTACATTACACTTAGGTTCAGGCCGAGTGAAAACTCGTGTCTGACGGAAAAACAATATTATCACAAAATAAAGTTCAAATTTAGTTTTCAATCACTCTAACTAAAGGAAACAATGTGTGATAGAATGACAAAACACTATGTAGAGTAATACGTCATTCAAAATGCGATTTTTTTTTAAATTTTTTTTTAATTTTAATTTTTTTTAATTTTTTAAATATTTAAAAAAAAAAAAATTTATATATTTTTTTTTATTATATGTTTTTAATATTTTTTTTAAACAATTTGTTTTCTTCTTTTTTTCCTTTTTCTTCTCAATAATCTATCCTCTCACCTCAGCGCATTGAGTAAGTGCTCAACTTCTGTTGGTTCCTGATCTTTCAGTACTTTTACACAGCTTTTGACCTGAACAGAGAAAAATCAAAGCATGTATTAACGTGCATCAACAAAAGCTTCCTCCTCAAAACTTCATCTCAGAATAACTATAACATTCATACGCCTTGTCATCTACTCAACTCATTTATCTGGTCCTTCATTTGTTACTTTTCGAACTTTTTCCAAAGAAAAGGGAGACAATATACATGTAAACCAGTCTATGAAATAACTCGCTTGTTTACCTAGACTACGGCACACCTGTGTATAAATAATCCCTCAATGGATCTACATAAATAGCTTATTCTATACCAGTACATTTGAAAATAGCTTGCTGGAGGTATACAATCCATCAATTGATATTTTTTTGCCTGTGTTTTCGGAAGATACATATAAAGTATATGCACTACGGCACGTTAGATCAAATTCTGAATCGATCAGTTCCAATGAAATAAAGTTTGACCTAATAAATAATTGCCAATAAACAAATTTTTGCCTCAAGAGGCTGAAATTCGGCTTAACTGTAGGCTCTTGAAACTTACAGTGATAAGGGTGGGGGGGGGGGGGGGGGGGGGGGGGGGGGTGGGGGGGGGGGGGGGGGGGGGGGGGGGGGGGGGGGGGGGGGGGGGGGGGGGGGAGTTGGAGCACTCTTGAAAATTTAGAATTTAAACAAAATTATTCTTCAAAAATTCTGGGGGGGTGTTTCACAAAGATCCTAAGTTGAACTTATCGCTAAGTTGGACTTAACAATTATGGAAAGCCATTAGCATCTATGAAAATATTTTGTAAAAGTTATTTTAAAAGACATAAAATGTTGATTCAAAACATTCAGATTTTCTGTTATTAAGGAGATTTCATGTTTTTGATGTGGAATTTATAAAAAGTCTAAAATACTTGAATTTTCGCTTTTGAATATATTTAACTTAAAGCCTACAAATGGCTCTCCATAACTTATGAGCCCAACTTGAGTTAAGTTTAACTTTAAGGATCTTTGTGAAACACCCCCCCTGATCTGGACGAAGTCAGAGAAAACTAAAAAAACTTACATTGATGGGGGCGCTCTTGTCAAACGCTCCGACAGGATGAACGTGATCGTAGAGGATAATGAGGGCCACCATGACCCGCAGGCAGAAGAGAACGGTGTTCCTTTCTTGGAAGCGAGCCACAAAGTCCCTGCAGAGGACACATAGCAAAACATAAGCTTAAAAATAGGCAACATTCTCTTCTAAGTTCTTATAAGGGGACCAATTTGCAAAAGGAATACAGGTGTGGATGTAATAGAGGTGTTGCGGTCCAGTGGATAAGTAGAGTGAACCACGAGGTACAGGGTTCAATATTACTATCATTATTATCATGTTAACTGGCATTTAAAATTTAGAATCTCTCTATAATACTGCAATATATGATTTATCAATACAACATTTCTAACCATAATAATAATATTAACATTTCTATCACGCAGCAATTTCTTAATCTTTTCATATTTGAGTGGTTTTTCTCAAATTCACTCACTGGAAACGAGGACTAATTTCGTTCAAGTTTTCTTTGATTTCTAGGATAGCCAGGTACACAGGATGAATTAAAAATTGGAATCGGAATTAAAAATAAGGATGGTGAATGAATATAACAGTGATACCTGTATATAAAGACCGCTCGAGGGAAACATGAAAAGTGGTCTTCAAAGACAGGTGTTCTTTACGTACAAGTTTCTATAATACATGTGTCAATGAGAAACACCTGTCACAGGGAAACAATTTTTTTTATTTTAAATAAAGTGGTGGTCTTTGTATACAGGTGGTCGCTGAAGCAGGGTTCACTGTACTTACGGGTTGTCGATCATTACTCTGCATATCTGAGCCATTGTACTGAGGACATCTGTAGTCTTCTCGCACCAGACCTCTTTATTCTGAAAGTGAAAACAAAAGAGATGAAAGAGAACTTTCATAAACACGGTGGATTTGAAATGAATAAACAAAAACAAAAATACTTGAAATTGTTTAATTTTGCTTTCTTTTCATTACTACAATAATGTATGTATATGTGTGTGCCCCCTCTGATCGCATGGCAATAGAAGGACATTTTTTTTAAAGAAGAGGGATAGAAAGAAAAGGAAAAGGGGAGGGGGGGGGAGCATGATGAGAGAAACCCCTTTCCCACACCCTCTCCATACTCAGTAGCTTAGTTAAAGTGGATTACTTTCAGTCACTAAGACCCTCCCACCCCACCTGATGCCTTACCCTTAATACAAGAATTTTGCTTGAAGTATGAGGCAAAACAAATCCCAACAAATACCTCGCTTTCAAAAGATATATGTTATCAAAAAACACATTCAATGAACCATACATAACAAAGACATTCAATGAACCATAACAAAGCCACATTATTATGAAGCATAGCTATCAGTATCGGATCAATGCACTAAGTCGAAGGGTTGATTGCTATGCACTTTATCACTTCTTACAAGTCTAAGGGCCCCTCCGCAACACCAACACAAGCTATGTTTCAGCTATTTATAGACACCTGGCGTGGTGCCCAATCAGTTCTTTGGAGGGATAGCCCAGCTAATGAGTGCTGCTAGGTGAGGGGAGATAGGAACAGGCACCAGTCCAAGTGACTAATGACTTGATTGGGTGTGTGGTGAGGGGGGGGGGGGGGGGGGAGAAAGCCCCTTCTGTTGACATTCTAGCAACATACATGCAGGAAGCGTAATGAAGTATGGACCTAATAGACGATGTGTCAAATGACTCACCTTGAGCAACACACTCTGTTTGTAAACATGGTATGAACAGTAAATGTTATACCCATAGGAATAAAGTGGTGAAGTGTGACGTCATCAAAATAATATTTTTAGAATTTCTCAATTTGAACTTCATTTTCAGAAAGAGCATAAAAAATAATGTCCAAATATCGAAAACCAGATATGACCATCTGAATAAATGGATTTCCTATAGGAACTCGGTGTTATTTTACTCTGGTTCGTAATGTTATGTTATTGCCATCAAATTGTTGGTGAACTTGGGGCTCCCAACACTTTAGAGGGGCTTTAAAACCACATCGTACACTTGAATGAAAAGGTGTGTTTTTAATTTGACCGTTTGAAAAGTATTTATTGTTGATTTTGTGGGTAAGGGTGTTTGTTTTTCTTTCCGGGACTGATGTTTCCATTCCTTATCTTTCTATGCTCGTAATACTCAGCCCCTATACATTTTCGACCAAAATCATGTTATTTATTTGTAATCTTGAACATTCAGTGTAAGTTTTGTTGGAATATGTGGGAATTTAATTTCTATCATTACCAGTACTCAAGTTCATCTTTAAATATAGAAGGAAAAGAATACCTACCGCTGAGACAAACTTGATGGTGGAATCTACAATGGTCTTGAGCATAGGCGTGGCATGGGCGTAGAATAAAGATATCTTATTGGCCATCTCATTGTTCACTGCTACCCTATTAGGATCAGGCTGAAAACAAAAGCAAACAAACGCAAATTCATAAAAAAACGGTGACGAGAATCAGTAGATACATGCATTGCAGAGTATTGAATAAATTATACAGAGTGGATTCCTCACACAAATAGAAAATATACTGGTATACAAAAAGGTTAAATTGTTAGTAGACATGAATTCGCCATTTAAAACATAGACGTTCAAGAGGTTAACTGATGAAAGAGCATATAGGGATATTATTTCATATCAAATCCTACATTGTGTGTAATTAATTGTTTTCATGTATCAGGCATAAATGTTCGTTTCTAATATTTCCTTCCTTTCTAAGCGCATAGAGACTTTCTATGTATTAGTGATATGTGTTATACAAGTAATCCTGTAAGTTGGGGCTCTGATCGGATCGGAAGATCGGAACGACACCCTCGCACCTTTAATCGGTATCGGATCGGAAGATTGACCAAAAAAATCGGCCTATTTAAAAAAAAAAAAATTTTATGACGAAAATTTTCAAGTTTTTGGCTATCAAATGCTCATAAAAAATTCATGGCTGGGATTATTTTGTCATTTGGAGTTGTTGTAGACCATGTTTGTTGATATTTAGTGCCTTTTCATGACTTTGAAATTAATAATATTGGTCTAAGAGCAGAGGCAAAACATGCGGGCCGCCATCTTGGATTATAATGTAGGTACTTTTGTTTTTTTTAATGACGAAAATTTTCAAGTTTTTGGCTATCAAATACTCAAAAAAAAATTCATGGCTGGGATTATTTTGTCATTTGGAGTTGTCGTAGACCATGTTTGTTGATATTTAGTCCCTTTTGATAGCCAAAAACTTGAGAAAAAAAAATTGATCGGCGATTGGAAATTATTACCCGATCACCCCTGATCGGATCGGTATCCGCGTATGTGTGTGGACTCACCTATTCTAGTATGTTTGTACTTTATTCACAAATAAAAGATGCAAAGTAACTCAATGTAACTGCAATAAGATAATAATGTAGTGCTGGGACTTGAACCCATGACCTATGTATCTCCAGCTAAGCGCACAAACCACTCAACCACATCATCCCTGTATATTTATAATGCCCTACCTGATTTGCCATCTTTATCCTGCTTAATGTCCGTCTGTAGTAACTGAAGTCGTTCTGAATTGATGGATTTGTCATCTAGAAAAGAAAAAAATACAAAAGAAAGGGATAAATGACGGTATTATCATGACATGTACAGGTCATGTCCACTGCATTACATAAATTTTCATTTAAATTTCATGCTGGGAATTGGTAGATTATCAATTAGAAATAGCTTATAGACTTAGATACATTTAATAATGAATTATCAAAAAATGAAAATTGTGTAGATGTGTGACCATGATTTGTACGTCACTTGAGAGGCCAATGCCAGTAAATGGTGAGAGCAAACAGTGGAATGAACGGCCTGCCATAGGCCATAGTTGAGTCCAACTTAAACTTGATCTTAGTCTTTGTGAAACACCCTCCCCCCCCCCCCCCCCCCCAGTATATACAAATTATGAAAGTCACTTGACGATACAGGAGAGGGTTAAACTTTTGATGGAACTACCTACAAGCATATGCACTCTGGTACCCCCATCCTTCTTGAGTTAAGACTACCAGTAATATACTTTATTATTATGCAAACAAGCAACGAGACAAAACAGCAACCCAACCCCAAAGTGTCCCTGACTTTCACACGCAGAGGTAACCTAATTGTATCCACAATGACATGTTTTATTTGTTCATGTAATGTTTCCATGGTGTACTTTGCCTAATTTAAGTCAACAGAGCAATTGTCACAAGAGAGACTCTTCTAAATGGCTAAATGGAATATGAACGAGACGTGTTGTGTATGGGCTTATGTATGGGCTTATGTACCGGTATTAACATCATTCATTCGGCATCAGCTGTTATAAGATGATGAAGCAGATCCTAATCAAATGATTGGTTGAGAGCGTACACGTGACCAGGCATTTATTTTGCCTAACACGTAATTTTACTAATGACCGGTCATTAGTAAAATCATGTTATAAAACATCATTTTATAAAATAAATAAAACATCATCTTATAAAACAAATAATACACATCATTTAGTTCGGGCATTAGTAAAATTACCCACACTCGGTACCTTCGAAACAGTCCAAACGCCTTCGGCTATAGACTGTTCCAAAGGTACCTTGTGTGGGTAATTCTTACTAATGCCCTCACTGCTGTGTATTATTTGTATACTGCTGTTGTTATTGTTATCATGCAAGAACGTTTATAAACCGTGTATTCATACCTTGAGGTCATCGAACTTTAGTGTGAAGTGGAGGACTTGGGCGAACTGCTTCGCGAGGGCTTGCCTCTGTTCCAGCTGCTGTACGGGGGATTCCGTGCCGGTGCACAGAGCGTTGAGGAGCTCCTGATTGACCTTATCCAGCTTCATCGAGAACTCGTAGTATTTCTTGAGTCGGGCCACCAGAGGGCAGACTGCTCCCCAGGCGAGCTGCTGGAGGTCGTTGTCCCGCGGCGATGTGATGGCCTGGAGTGCGGGATGGAGGGAGGGAGAGAGAGAGAGAGGGAAAGAGAGTGCGAATTAAATGTTTATGTAGAAACAAGAGGAGAAGTTCAAAGTTAGTACTATTGAAATTGTTCATGTTTATGGTATTTTCAACATTGAAATTGGATTGAAATGTACATGTACTAAAAACAGTTTGAAGATAGTTCAAGGTAGGAACAAAACATGCAGAAACTTCAGGATACCATTAAATTCTGTGCACATATTAAACTCAACTTGGATCCCATGCACTGAATTTTTTCGTTCACTATCATTCAGCTGCAAAATACTGCTTGTTTTTACACTTTTTGTGTGAGATATTTACTAAACCAACCATCAGTGTAAACTCCTGGACAACAATCTTCCCTGAAAAGCATAGCTCTTCAAATGCCTTCATATTCTAAATATGTCATGTAACATCGTAAAAATCTGGGTAGAATTTTTACCCCATGTGTTCATGTAGTCCCATATACATCTTTCTGTGTACAGTGTTTGTAACTTTACAAAGACTTGGTCAAATTTCGTATCATTTTGATGATTTCAGAACCTTGCAATACACACAAATTCTTATATGCTAGATCAGGCCTTCTCAACTAGTTTATTAGAAGTGCCAAAACAAAAATTTATTGAGGTTGAAGTGCCAACCTGTATGTTTGGTGACTGTGTTGCGAGGGAGCGTAGCAACCAAGCCGATACCGGGTGGGGTCCAGGGGGCAAAGCCCGCAGAAGCTAGTGGATTTTAAGGCTTTTTTAAGGCCCAGATATGGCATTATTAACACCTTTTTGTTCCATAAAACATCAATCATAATTTCATACAATCCCTGGCTAAAATCTACACAGGAAGTTAATTTACATGTAGTTATTTTGGTGCAATAAACACGGAAAATGTCAAAATCAAGTGAAAATCAAACAAACAAAATGGCTTGCTTACACGTTGTGCTCAAATTTGACTGTGACTTTTTGATTTTGCTGAGTTTTTTAATTTTAAAATATCATTTTTTAATTTTTTCTTTCTTTCATTTTTGTTTTTCATTTATATTTATTTTGTATTATTTGTTTGGAACAGCCGCGCGCCACTCTGACTGATCGCAAGCGCCACAAGTGGCGCGCACGCCGCCAGTTGAGAAGGCCTGTGCTAGATGTTCAACCTTTTCTGGTGGATTCCACACTGTTTCTATCACAATGCAATCGCATGACCAGAACTCAACTTCATCTTTAATTTCCAGTCGTTCAACAGTTGGATATGTCATGCACAACACTATACGTACGGGGCTATACACCAAGATCCCTTAGGTATCTTTTAGCAAGCTTGTTCTGCTTTTTACTGAATAAGGAAGTGAATCACGTGTATATACAAGACACAAGGCCTAGCTATTACCTTAAATGCTTCCGGTATTAGAGCCTGTCTGCACTAGTTTGGCCAGGAGGGATTAGACCTCACTGCGTGGTCACTGACAGGTGGAAATCTCATGAAGTCAGCTCTCAAGTACTGTAAATGCTGTTATTTTCGGCGATTAATTTTTCGCGCTGAGCGACCCCGAAACATATTCGCTGGTTCTTTAATTCGTGTTGCACCAAATTCAGCTCGTTCAGAACACGCATAAGAAGTCATGTTTATATTTTCACGGACACCGACTTTAGCGAGAACTTCATTAACATTAAAGTACCGCAAATATTTCTGTGTTTACAATAACGGAAGAAAAAGGGGATCATGGGGGACCAACGGGTACCGCTTAGGTATTGTTTTCGATATAGAGGGCGCAAGTAGCTATAAGTAGTGCAGTCTCGCTTTAACATGCCCTACCTGTCAATCAAAGGTGAATTTACTTGTGAATATTTAGTTCCTACATTGTACGAATATATAATCATGATCCAAAGCTGCAGTGGTTTGCTGCTTAATATTTCATATCACTTGCCTTTAGTAATGTCCATGTATTACTGCATTGCTTCTTGCAATACAAAAAGAGAGCTTTCTACATTTTGAAGGTTTCATAATTCAGGAAATAAATCCAGAGAGTATATACCTGGCGATCCTGTATTACCTTAAAGGGATCCGGTAACCTTACCTCAGATTCTGAAACAAAATCCTGGATTTAGCTCATACTGCAATGATAATTACAAATCTTTAGGTCAGTCAGGAACCCCATGACTTTTACAAGCAGATCGCCTAACTGATTATCAAGATATTTATGATTGCAAATCGAAATTTCATTTTGCATTTTCCTAACAGTTTTCATAACACTACAGTCTCTTGGGGAAAATGAGTATGTTAAAAACGGTCACTCAAAGACTTTTACTTTTTTGAGGAACTTCTTGATCATTTTGAAACACAATTATTCTAGGGCTTCAATATTGCACCATATGACAGACACTGATAACAGGTAGGGCCATGCATCTCATATTTAACATTGTTAAACGATGCCTTTAAAGGCTTCCTGCCCTGGGCTTGTATCTAACCTCCAACGACCTCACAGGAAGTAAAAAGGAAGCCTGGGATGTGGGAGTTTGGGTTCAAGGTCAGGTCAACCCATGGATGGTTTATAGACAGTTATAGTCAGGTAATACACTCAAGATTATCATCAGGGATTAAGCATTTGCTCAGGAAAGAGTTCGCTTGTTGGATTGAACAGTATGCTTGAGTTCAATGGTCTATGAATAATCCTAATGTGATGTTTAGGTCTGGTTTTGACATGACTCATACGTACATGTAAGGGTACATTTATGCTCAGCTTTTTCTGGCCAGAATGAGGCATCTGTTACGTGTTTAGTTCAAAACACGTTTGCGTCCTTTCTCATTTTTGTAGAATCACTGAAAAACAGCGATCATAATCGCCGATCGTAAACTCATAAAAAGATGTGTTTACGATCGGCGATTCTGCGAAATCGGCAATTCTGGTTAAGCATAAACGCACAATCATTTGTAAACGCGTTTAAAAGGGGTCAACGTAGCATGCGCAGGTGCAGGTGTGCGAATCAAGCTGCAGACTCTGCACTGCACTTCTCTGGCTCCTCCAGGCATGATTCTGGCTCTGAGCCAGAATGATGCCTGGAGGAGCCAGAGAAGTGAGCATAAACAGTACACCGTGGAACTGCGATTACGATGAGCGTTTCAAATCGCTCATTCTGCCTTCAAAACTGAGCATAAACGTACCCTAAGCCTTGTTCAGATATGCAGCGGCAAAACTACAGCATTTAAAGCTTATCTGCCGTAGTTTATAGGAGGGATTAGACCGCCCTGCAAGGTCACTGTACAGGTGGTTATCTCATCAACTCAGCTCTCAGTTAACATAAGAAAAAGAGGATCATGGGGGACCAACGATCACAGATTAGCCATTGTTTAATATAGAGAGGGCACAAGTAGCTACAAGTAGTGCAGTGGGCCTTTAAGGTTCTACATGTACCTGTCTTATTTCTTCTCCTGCTCCGCTGTATTTCTGTACATCTTCTAGAATACTATCCAGCTCCTTGAGAATGTCTGCCGTCCTGTCAAAAACTTCCCTCTCTTCGTCTGTGGGTTGAGCATCTAAGAAACACAAGCAAAAGAGAAGGAAAAAAGGGGGTACTAAGTCAAATAATTTTCCTTTTTCAAAGCAACTGAAAATATCTTTGCAAATAACATTAAAATTTAAATGTGAATAGGATATAGGAATTCACAGAAGCGAATCTTCCACAACAACCCCCACCCCCCCAAAAAAAAATTAGAAATTGTTTAAAGCCCCACTGCACTACTTATGGCTACTTGCGCCCTCTATATAGCAAACAATGCCTAATCGGTGACCATTGGTCTCCCATGGTCCCCTTTTTCTTATGTTAATTAAGAGCTGATTTGATGGATAACCACTTGTCAATGACCTTGCAGGGAAGTCTAATCCCTCCTGGCCAAACTGGCCTAGTGTAGATGGGCTTTAAAAGATGGGAAATCCTAAAGAAAATTAGCAGGTGGGCCTACGGAGGGCTACAGGGGTTAATTATATAGCTAGGGGGAGGGGGGGGGGATTATCCCTCGACCTACCACCCCCTCCATATTTTGGGCACTCCTTCGACCTACACCTGTGTTTCCAGGCTACAGGCTATATTCAATGCTATAGAAACTCAGTGATTAATCACAGTTTCCTCCACTTATAGAAACCAGGCAAAATTATTGATCCATTATGAACGCAGTGAAAGGGCAAACTGCTTCATTAAAATTTTTCATGTGCTGTAGAAACGCATCAGTTCATTGATAACTTAAGTGCCCATGGATAAATGTCATAAAATTTGTTTTTTGTTATGCTCATCATCTATAGCAACAGGAAATTTGATGGTGGAAATGATTTATAATGATTGATTTACGCGTATAATGGGATAACACTATCTTCTAATTTATGTAAGGTATTTGACCTTGTGAAATCCTACAGAAAGATATGGAAAAATACAGTTATTCTTTGTTAAATTTGTTTCATTTTTATACATACCTGTATATATGTGTAATGAATACCCCCCCCCCCCCCCCCCCCTCTGGAAAAAAATAAAAAAATAAAGAAGAAAACAAATGTGCTATTTAATGCCAATCATAAAAAGTTTCAGATTAAAAACACGCTTTGAACAATTGAGGCAAAGATACCCAATCCTTTTAAAAGAAATTTGTTGACATTACTTGTATAACTACTAACCTTCAAAATCAATATACACTCTCGGGTTATCTGGAGGTTCATCCCGTCCTAGCAGTTTCAGAATGTTGCCCATGCTGTGTGGCTTGGGTGTGTGACTACAACAATCAACTTTCTGCAGAAACGACAAGAAAAGAGAAGAAAAACGATTGGTATCACAGAGAAACGTGGATGAAAAACACAATGAAATACTGATCTACACATTGATGTTCATTTGCCACAATCGACCCAGGTGAGGTAAATGGGTACCTGGTAGGATTATTCCTTGAAAATGAAATAAACTGTGCGCTGATAACGGCTGCCGGAGCTACAGCTAGGGTAACAATATTCAAAGCTCTTTGGAAGCGCATAGAGATGTTATATAATGTGATTATGCGCTATACAAGAACCGAATATTATCATTATTATTACTGTCTTTTACATGACATTCAAAATAAATGTCTCGAGAATTGTGGTTCACCATGGCTTTACTTATGGGTCAGGTGTACCTGTAGGGCGGTGGTTAGGGAACATGTAGTGTCCCATTCAGTGTTGAATTTAGGAATTCAATTAGTGTAAGACTAATGGGGCGTTGCAAGAAAGTGGCAATCAATTGCAAATCCCACAAAATCAAGCACAAGTCTTGCAATTAATTGCAAATTTTCAATTGATCGCAACTCAACTTTCTTGCAACGCCCCATTAGTAAGAGAGAGAGAGAGAGAGAAAGGAAAATAAAAGCTAGATCTAATTAACTTAATTTAATTGTTAAAACTTTAATCCTAACAAAAATCCTATGAAATTTAGGAGACTAGTGGGGCGTTGCAAGAAAGTTGAGTTGCAATCGATTGCAAATATCAGTTGCAAATGTTGCAACTTGCAATCAATCGCAACTTTCTTGCAACGCCCCATTAGAATTGATGCCAGAGCTTGTGTTGCAGAACTGGGATAACACCCTTTTGGTTCTTAATAGGAGAAGAAACAGCATTCATGTCGCTCTTTTGATCTTCTCCACGGCAGACAGTTGCTCATTAAGGACACCATATCAAGCAAACATCAAGCCTTGATGGGACAGCATCTTAGCCTCATCAAAGACGGAGGGAACCAAAAGCTACTCCACCGACCAAAGAAGAATGCGAGAGTGAGAGACGACTAAATCGATCCGCCACTCACCGCATGAATGCGCTAGCTGCGCACAGACCGCGGTTGGTTCTCAACATGATAAATCCGTCAGATGTGCAGTAATTAGGAAGCGACCGGCGTGACGACAAAAGCAGCGAGGAGACACGAGGGTCTCTCAGAGAAACAGATGCGCGTCTATCAGTCATTCAATTGGAATGTGACGGATGGTGATACATTTGGCGGAGGGGAGATAACATATCAAACACTCATACAAATAAAATTACTCTTGATGGATGCATATCATCTTCAGAGTATATGGTGGGGTAAACTTTAAAGAGTTTTAGAAGGGTTCTACGCCATTAGAGGACAAAGTTCAATTTCAATTTCAATTTCAATTTATTCATGTTTCCAACAAAACATTACAAATCAATCATAAGCATTTAAAACAAATGTAAACAAATACATGTTGGAAACAGAGGGGTCCACTAAAAAGCAATGCTTGTACAAGTGTGAACACCTCAGTTCCATGCATGCAGTAGATGACATTTTGTAATTTCTGTGCAAATAGCTTCCAATACAGAGGCTAGAAAAAATAAGGAATTTTTGCCATATAATATGTCACTAATTTAACCTCACATGAATGATACAACTTATATGTTGTAATGCTCAAAAGAAAATAAGCTTTCCAAATATCTCTGAACTTCAAAAGAGCCTTAACTTCTAAACTAGAAATTGAATATTCTTTGATAAAGTAAATCTAAGAATAAAAGAAAAATCTCCACAAATCATTTTGCACTACACTACCCCCCTCTTTCAGACCAGCAGAATTCATTGTACGGCATTTCGTTACGCAAGTTTGGTATATGTTTCCACTGTATACATTTCCTCTAGTGTGAATGTCCCTGTGATTCTTATGTCGCTGGTGATACACAGAATCTCTACTCATCCATAAACATTACTGGTCATGATTCATATGTGCTGTATGTCAGGCGTGTAAATGTGATACGGTGACGTCGGTAAGCATCATCATGATAGCGAAACGTAGAGTCGAGAGAAGGAGAGATGAAAAAGAATACTGGACGATACTGTTATGTTCTAATAACCCAGACACTTATCTTATAGAAAAGGTGAAGGGGGAAGGGGGAGGATTGTACGAACAAGGAAACACAGAGGAATATAACGAAAGGTGTAGCAGGAGGATTTGATGCACAAGGGGAGGGGGAAAGGATGGTGAAAGGGAGAGAGAGAGAGAGGGGGGGAGGGAGAGAGAGAGAGAGAGGGGGAGGGAGAGAACGAGAGAAGGGAGAGAGAGAAAGAGAGATGGAGAGAGAGCTAGGGAGAGGGGGGCTAGAAGGAGATGAAGAGGGGGCAGGAAGAGCACGGGGTGAAGAAACATAGAAGGAAAGAGATGAAAAGAGGGGAGAAGACAGATACATGATGACATAACACATATTAAAGGACGAAGGAAAGAAATGGTGAAAGAGGAAAGAGAGAGGAGGGAGACAGAGAATGAAAGAAAGGGAGACATAGAATGGAAGAAAGAGAGAAGGAGAGAGAGAGAAGGAAAGAAAGAGAGAGAGAGAAGGAAAGAAAGAGAGAGAGAGAAGGAAAGAGAGAGAGAGAAGGAAAGAGAGAGAGGGAAGGAAAGAGAGAGAAGGAAAGAAAGAGAGAGAGAGAGAGAGAGAGAGAAGGAAAGAGAGAGAGAGAGAGAAGGAAAGAAAGAGAGAGAGAGAGAGAGGGAGAGAGAGAAGGAAAGAAAGAGAGAGAGAGAAGAAAAATAAGGAAAGTTCAAGAAGAGGGGAAGAGGTTTTGGAGATAAGACATAATTATTAATTATCAAACAGCTATATGAGTACTGGCCTAACATTTACACTGTACACACATATTTCTTTGATAAATGAGGAAGTAGTTTCTGAGTATTCAAATAAGGGAGTCAACCCTTTTATTTCCAGCGATATGAGTGACAATAGAAGGCTCAAGTTATCTAAATAGTACCTTCTGTAAGAAAACTGAAATTCTTAAACACACTTCCTCATACAGAGTACATGGACACCCGTATCTTGGTTGAAACAAGGAGTAGTAGGTTCATGGTCCAAAGATTAGGTATTTTGTCCTAGTATAGCTTTTGTTTTTAGCCTCTTATGAATGTACTTTACATGTAATGTACATGTAGGAGGCACCCTGGCTCAGTGGTAGAGCAGTGGTCTCGTAATCTGGAGATCACAGGTTCAAGACTAAGTCGATGCGCTATATAGTGCCCTTTGGTAAGGCATTGGTCATTATTACCAAGTCCCTCAAAAGGACTTGGTTGCTTATTTACATGTACAAGCATGCACATGTTTTCTTGGCAGTCAGGTAAAACGAACAAACAAACAAGTGTACATTATTCTAAATTCTCTCCTAAGAAACGTTTCAACTTTTTCAAACTACAGGTCAACATGAATGACAAAAAATTATGGAAAATGAAAACATATATACATATCTATGGGGAGTGATAGGATTGTCATAGAATTCTACAGGTACTGTAAACCAAATTTGAATTACTGTGATGGTTGTGTCAAATGGTAACTCTAACTTCTTTTGAATAAAAAAAGCTTCAACTGAAAGTACAGAGCTTTCCGAAATCCTTAAGTTTTATTGCAGTCTCGATAGGCGTGTCTTCATCAGATCGAAGTTGCAAAATAACCCGCTATTCTCATACTCTGGATATTTTCCCGAAGCTTGAAATTGAGTCTTCACCAGACCAATACGCTCATCACAAACTAGCTCGGACGGGCGCAAATTAGCCCGTTATTTGGGAAAAAGACCAAGATTTCTTGGGATATTTTCTTGAGTAAATATCTTGCTATTTTTTTTTCTCTTTTCTCTTTGCCTCTCCCATGAGGATTTCTTTATTTTTTCACTATATTTACATGTTATACATATTTATGATCGGGCTAGTTAACATAGCGGGTTATTTGGCAACTTCGGTCTGATGAAGACAGGCTTGATGTGAGAGGAGTGACCACAACATACATGTAGATAGACACTCAGGTATGCTATTACAAATGTCATCAAGCATTAAACAGAATTGATACCAGCATTACATGGAAACCCAATACAGCATTTGTAAGCCATCTGCTACAGATGTAAACATATCGATTACACGTAGGCCTATACTTTATTCCTATTGCACTCTGGATACAAGCAAGTATCTCAAGGAATTCCATGAAACCAACGTTGTTTTCATACAGAAAATGCAATTCCATACATGTACATGTAGGCCAATGTACACAGAACACAACTTAGAGAGCTGCATGTAGATTGTATTTGTACAGTTAAATTATTCATAATTAATAATATCTCATTCGTGACTGCCAATAAAATCCTCTAAACTTGAAGGGAAAAAATACTATTGTTACAGAAATGAAAATACAAATTCAGAGTAGAATAGCACTGAAAGATAAGAAATATGAGTTGTTCAGTACTACTAACCAAAACCTTGTCCTATATCCATAGCATGCGATTGCTTTTTAGTACATTTTTATGATTTCCAAATTATTGCAACCAAAGTCCTGCAATACGCAAGGATTCTCCATGACCAGTGACTCAGAATGACTTTTATACCGCTACCCTTGAGATAATTACCAAAAGATAAGTGATTACTCCAAATATTAAGGCAGATTACTGATGAAGGTATTATTAGTTAGGTTCACATGAGAATCCATCAACTATAAGTTTAGGTCGTGGTTTTAAACTAAGAAATCATCTTGCAGTAAAATAATGGATGATGTGGATTCATGTCTGGTTAGGACAGTTGAAGTTTACTTGAAGTCATAAACCATGAACAATCTAGTGCCATCATCACGAGCGGCAAAGACGGGGGAGGGGGGGGGGGAGCATCTTCACTTGAAGTAATTGCAGACAAAGTTAGCTTTGAGGTTATGCCAGCTTGTAGTACTTGCATGCCTTGTAGTTTAAACCTTAGAATATTCATTGTTTCTGTCCCGTGTGAACCTTTCTTGATGTTAGTGGAT